TCTTTGTAAATGAATCAATAACATGAAATTGTATCAAAATAGAAAACCAAACAAAACAGAAACAGTGCCGTCTTCACAATGATCAAACAAAGGAATCTCGTAAAATATGGGAGATTGCATTGGCATCAGAATGTTCGAGGTAAATGAGATGAAAATGTAGTTGATAGGGTAGTTTACCGATATATCATGTATGCTTAATTTCATGAATTTATCTTTCAATAATTCTTCATACTAGACAAATTCACTTTTGAAGTAGGTGAAATCACTTAAATTTTCAGAAGAAAGTTGATATCTTTAAGTGCCATTTCAAAAAGTACCTGTCTTTCTTCAGTACTTATTGCCAGTGCTGAAATTAAGCTATTGAACAGCTGTTTTTTCTACTTTTGAATGCATGACAAACCTATAGTAGGGTAATGGCTGTACTTATATATACACGCATCACCCCTCCTCACAAAGGCTAATCTTTTGCAGAAGTATTTTACAGTTTATTGTTCCTTCATGAATGAAATATTTTTTCATATTCCTAACTTTCTGGCAGTTGCATTGTGTTAATTTCATTCGAGAGAAAACAGCAGTTTATTGCGGGGCAGCCAGTGACAGCAATGTTAACCATTGCGGGACAGCCAGTGACAGCAATGTTATCCATTGCGGGGCAGCCAGTGACAGCAATGTTAACCATTGCAGGGCAGCCAGTGACAGCAATGTTAACCATTGCGGGGCAGTCAATGACACCAATGTTAACCATTGCGGGGCAGCCAATGACAGCAATGTTACCCATTGCGGGGCAGCCAATGACAGCAATTTTAACCATTGCAGGACAGCCAGTGACAGCAATGTTAATCATTGCGGGGCAGCCAGTGACAGCAATGTTAACCATTGCGGGACAGCCAGTGACAGCAATGTTACCCATTGCGGGGCAGCCAGTGACAGCAATGTTAACCATTGCAGGGCAGCCAGTGACAGCAATGTTAACCATTGCGGGGTAGCCAATGACAGCAATGTTAACCATTGCGGGGCAGGCAATGACAGCAATGTTAACCATTGCGGGGCAGCCAGTGACAGCAATGTTTAACATGATTGCGGCATTGTGTTAATTTCATTCGAGAGAAAACAGCAGTTTATTGCGGGACAGCCAGTGACAGCAATGTTAACCATTGCGGGGCAGCCAATGACAGCAATGGTAACCATTGCGGGGCAGCCAATGACAGCAATGTTACCCATTGCGGGGCAGCCAATGACAGCAATGTTAACCATTGGCGGACAGCCAATGACAGCAATGTTAACCATTGCGGGACAGCCAATGACAGCAATGTTACCCATTGCGGGGCAGCCAATGACAGCAATGTTAACAATTGCGGGACAGCCAGTGACAGCAATGTTAACCGTTGGGGGGCAGCCAATGACAGCAATGTTAACCATTGCCGGACAGCCAATGACAGCAATGTTAACCATTGCGGGGCAGGCAATGACAGCAATGTTAACCATTGCGGGGCAGCCAGTGACACAACTGGCTGCCTCGCAATGGTAACCGATGTTAATATTCAGTATTGGTGTCTGATCAAGATACTCTCATGAATTCACGGGGCAGCCAGTGACAGCAATGTTAACCATTGCGGGACAGCCAATGACAGCAATGTTAACCATTGTGAGGCAGTCAATGACAGCAATGTTAACCATTGTGGGGCAGCCAATGACAGCAATGTTAACCATTGTGGGGCAGTCAATGACAGCAATGTTAACCATTGCAGGGCAGCCAATGACAGCAATGTTAACCATTGTGGGGCAGTCAATGACAGCAATGTTAACCATTGTGGGGCAGCCAATGACAGAAATGTTAACCATTGCGGGGCAGCCAATGACAGCAATGTTAACAATTGCGGGACAGCTAATGACAGCAATGTTAACCATTGCGGGGCAGCCAGTGACACAACTGGCTGCCTCGCAATGGTAACCGATGTTAATATTCAGTATTGGTGTCTGATCAAGATACTCTCATGAATTCACGGGGCAGCCAGTGACAGCAATGTTAACCATTGCGGGACAGCCAATGACAGCAATGTTAGGGCAGCCAGTGACAGCAATGTTAACCATTGCGGGACAGCCAGTGACAGCAATGTTAATCATTGCGGGGCAGCCAGTGACAGCAATGTTAACCATTGCGGGGCAGTCAATGACAGCAATGTTAACCATTGCGGGGCAGCCAATGACAGCAATGGTAACCATTGCGGGGCAGCCAATGACAGCAATGTTACCCATTGCGGGGCAGCCAATGACAGCAATGTTAACTATTGGGGAGCAGCCAGTGACAGCAATGTTAACCATTGCGGGACAGCCAGTGACAGCAATGTTACCCATTGCGGGGCAGCCAATGACAGCAATTTTAACCATTGCAGGACAGCCAGTGACAGCAATGTTAATCATTGCGGGGCAGCCAGTGACAGCAATGTTAACCATTGCGGGGTAGCCAATGACAGCAATGTTAACCATTGCGGGGCAGCCAATGACAGAAATGTTAACCATTGTGGGGCAGCCAATGACAGCAATGTTAACCATTGCCGGACAGCCAATGACAGCAATGTTAACCATTGCGGGGCAGCCAGTGACAGAACTGGCTGCCTCGCAATGTTAACCGATGTTAATATTCAGTATTGGTGTCTGATCAAGATACTCTCATGAATTCATCGACACTTGTTTGATGTATCTGAGTTCCAAATTTCTTCCAACAGAAATGAAGGCTTTGAAAAGGTGACAAAGATTTTCTTTTTACGGTAATAAGGGCGACCTTGAACTCGGTTCCATGATTCATCATAGACACTAACTTGTCTTGATTACTGAATAGTCGTTTTACGTAAAGGAGATACACTAACGATTTGGATCAATGTATTGATGGATGTATGTGATCCCAGTTGCCTAAGGATCATCACGTTACTATACAGACTAGCAGATTAAAAACTGTCATGATCAGGGATAATGGAAATACAAGTATCAATCCTATCATTACTGTACGTAATCTCTAAACCAATTTCATAGGTACAACTGTATCGGCAGTTTATATTCACGAAGGGGTGTATCAAATACACTGTCAGATTATATTCAATCAGACCTTCATTAACTAAATTTCCCGTTCTTCCTGAGTGAGTATAATAGTGACAGCGAGGTCTATTTGTCCTATGTTGTATCCCAGTCTTTATACCATATTCTGTACCATGTCCATATTATACCTAAACGGCAGATTTCACAATGATTAATGATATCAACTTCAGGGTATATGATAATTCTGCTCATCTTATGTAACAAATGACTTTATCACCACTCCAGGCACCCACACTTGTGATGAGGATTGTGTTGGGGTTTTAGATTTACAGTGTTGGTGAGGATCGTGTTGGGGGTTTAGATTTACAGTGTTGGGGTTTTGGATTTACTGTGTTGGTGAGGATCGTGTTGGGGTTTTGGATTTACAGTGTTGAATTTCTTTTGGCTCGTAGGCATTCATCACTTCATATAAAATTATACTTTAATTATTACTTGATATTCACAGGATGTTTCAAAGTCTTTACAAATGGATAGTTGTTATTCCCTGCTGGATTATGTACAGTATTTTGTGTGAGCAGAACGCCTGGTTCACCTGGTGTCAGTATAATGTGACCAGGTGGAATACTGGGCTTGGAGACTTCAGCATGGTATTTCAGAAAGCTTTCACTAACAAGTTGGCATCAGATCTACCAATATACCACCTCCAGCAGACAAGTACTTCTGTACGCATACACAACACACATCTTTGTCACATGGAGGCATATCCTTAAGGTAATAGGATTGTGTCGCCATTTCTCAGTATAATTTCTTCAAATTTTGAAGTTATATTCGTAGTTTTAAGGAATTTAAATGGAAATTTATGTCAAAAGGAGTGACTTTTGAAAAAAAATTGAAAGACAGATTTTTTTGCAAAATAATGTCAATAAAAATGATACTGCCATATATTAGTATTGCATTAATGTATATCAATTTAATAAATGTTGAAATTATGTCAAATAAATTATCTATAAATGATTAAAAATTGACATTTTATAATCATTGTAATTGCAGGTAAGAGTTATCTTTCTTGAAAAACTTTACAGTAGTGAAATAGGTAGGCGGTTTCCTGAAGTACAGAAAAATGGATACATGTGGCTCATTGATAAAAAAAATCTGACTTAATGCCTGCATTGCTTTGAAATACTTTAATATTGAGAGAAAACACTGAAATTATTCATCAGTTTAATATTAAACATTAGAATAAGCGGAAATTGTGATATTGTCTCCCTACATTAGATTTTCAACTAGGGATGTACTTCCTACTTCCGTTTATCAATACACTCCTATGACCTTAAGCAACCTTAACTGCTAATAGGACATTAAACCCAATACACAAAACTTGATATTTCATTAGAATGTCGTTCATTTCTATTCCTTAATTCTGTTGTAAATATATTTATGTAAGAAACTACATAGGCCTCAGTCTAACCCCATCACAATGAATATTTATTTCTTTTGTTAAAACTTTTGAATTTAGTGTTCTTCAACGTTAACTGAAAAGTCACATGTGATAATAAAGTAAATATTTCTTACAATCGTTCTGATTGGCTGACGTACTGGCACACACATTTATCCAATCAGAAGGCCTATTCTTTTAATTTGTGTCAATGGACTAAGGGAAATATATTCCTAATTTTTGTTAAACATTTTTTAAGGAGTGAATTTGAAAGATTTTCAAATGTATGTATTTGAACTTTACATCAGATCACTGGAGCAGTGAAACTTTTATTAAGGTTATCAGACGTTCACACTGGCAAATTGACAGCTTTAATTTGAGAGAATTAATAGATGTGCATTCACTGTTGATTAAATGAACCTTCAGAACAGTATGTATTTGTGTAGAATGAAATGTTATGACAGACTTTGGTGATGTGTATAGCACCACTGAACTTGTAAATGATGACTCTAGATGGTTATATTTAACTCACAAGTCTTGTATTGGTGACAGGAAACAGGAGGGCGATAGGTGCTCCAGTCAGCAGGTGAAGATGGAGCCGGAATATCACGGTTAATGACCGCGTAGGAGGTGCTGCCAAACAGTAGATCTGAAAATAAGAATCAATTTAATGAACTGAAAGTTAATAATCAGTCAACAACAAATAATCTGCTGGTCTTTTTTTGCAGTTGTTTAATTGATATGTAGCTAGCAGATTGACAACCATATACAAACCAGTACAATAAAAAACATCCGCACCTGAAACTCAGTACAGTAACACTAGCTGCATCCTAGAATAATCCATGAAACACATAATATAGTTACAATACAATGGTTTTAACAATAACTTTGAGATGATTAATTTTAATCAAGTTATTGTAATACAGTAATTACGAGTGTAAGAAGTTTTCAAAGCAGTAGATATTGTAAGCATTGAATTATAACATGTCAGGGGTGAATGAGTTAATGATCAGTATGAGGTATTGTCACAATAGTGCAGGTATTGTTAGAACTCTGGGATTGCTAACATTTGATTTGACCAATTATTATTGAGTAGGTGACATACAAAATATATGCACATACTGTATAACATATTGCAGTTACATTACATTATTTGGTCATATGATACGAGCTGTAATCGTAGCCAAATTGTACTCGCGTGTAAGTATCATGCTAATCTATATATAGCTACCTGTTTAAATCAAATTAGAAAGTTTAGACCAAAGACTCATTAAAACACTCCTGGTCATCTGTTCATACTGGCATGTGTATGCATATATATGTCGTCAATAAAAAGATCATGTATAGCTACATAGATTAACCCTATCAGGTACCAAAGAAATTGATAGGGGTGAAATTGGTGCGCTGTCCTACAGCACAGTGCGTATTGTAGTGCAAGGGTGAACTTTTTGTTTTTAGTTTTTTATTTAGTATGTACAGCAAAATATAACAGTATTTCTTTACACTGAAATCAACGAGATGCCACACTGATCATGAGGAAGCTGGGTAAGGGCTGGAGCATCACTTGTGTTTGTTTGTCTGATGCCATCCCAGTCTTTTTTATCACAACATCAGAATATATGTACAGAAATAAGCTCACATAACACTGGCTGTTCTTGCAACTTTTCACCAGCGAAGAAGTAAGTTGAATGAGCGACTTGTGAACAGAGTCATGAGGTGTCAAAACATCTACCTAGTCATTTAATCTGGATACATTGGCCAGATATTATTATTACACAACATCATTGTAATACCCTGGGCCAAACTTGCTATCTGAACAACTGGCAGTGGCAGATAATGGCCGCCTCACTAAGAGATCAAAAGTACTTTTGTTTTTCTAAATACAAGTGCATTACGTCACAAGCCACTATTCCTGTTGGTTGTTCCAGGTAGAATCCAGAAGTCACATAAACATCACAAGGTTTATTATTGTTTTTCACAAAAGGGAAAGTTTACCAAGTTTTTCGGTGATTTTACATAGCACACGTCAGCAGGTAATGTGATATTACTTTGTGACTGGCTATAAAGGGAATCATTATAATACGCACCAGGCAAAAGACATACGTCAGCAGATAATGTGATATTACTTTGTGACTGACTATAAAGGGAATCATTATATAACGCACCAGGCAAAAGATATGTACGTCAGCAGATAATGTGATATTACTTTGTGACTGGCTATAAAGGGAATCATTATATAACGCACCAGGCAAAAGATATAAATAACTGTATTTCACTTCAAAATATGAAAATAAAGAATTCCCTGGATTGTAATTTGTACTGCGACATGAAAAACTCTCATTTGTTCAAAACTCTCATTTGTTCTCTTCACTCTGGTCATTCTTTCAGTAGTTGTTGTTCACAGAGATTTGTTATCTAAAACTTAACTGATACCCATGTGATGGAGATCATCCAGCGATGAGTGTTGTTATCCACATATAATTCATACTTTACACATATCAGTAATTATAATGAAACATTTAAAGGCATTAAAAAGCCTTATATTCACATTCTGATATTGAACTTATTACATGGACAAAATATTCATTAATAATTTTTCAAGCGAAACTCTAATGGTCTGCTGTCAAGATGCTGAAAGAATATGAATAAAATCATCAGAGAAGAATTTTGACCAATTTCTATGGGTGTAGCTAGTACGGCCAAACATGAAAACATATTGGTTTCTGTTATAATTACATGTCTGAACAAATTAGGGTAGGTAGGTAATAGATTAAAAAAATTGTAAGGTTTATATAGGATAGTAATCTTGACTTTAACAGTGCTTCCTTGAAAGTTACCAAAAAAGTTAACAGTAGGCCAAAGATATTAGGACAGCTAGGGTAACCGTAAACCTTTTTTGTTTTTTATGAATGACTAAATGCTTATGTTCAGCTGTGACATTAGCTTGTAAACATACAAATTACATGTAAATATAAGTACCAACACACTCAGGGCACCTACAATGTATATATATACTACACTGCATACTGATCATCTGTTGTGTGAGGTTTGGGGAACAAACACAGCAGGCCACACCTAACGGTTTGTCCTACATTAGCGGTTATCATGTCTGTATGCATTCTTGGTTAAATCCCAGTGAATACCTGGGTCTTTATCCTCACATACGAACATGTATATATGAAAATGAACAAGACTTAAGTACAAAATCTCTAAAAAGGGGCATAACTCCCAATGTTTAGTTCAGATCCAGAGCTCTACTGAATACTTCGGCCATTGTCCAGTGATAATTTCACCCCAAGATAATTGAACCCTGGTGTTAGATATCGCATGTTCTCCTTCGTTGGTTAAACAAACACAAATGACCAAAATGATGATTATAGTTCAATGTGTATTTGGGGCAACTACATGTGTGTTGTCACATGATGGTAACAGAGTATTTACCGCACACACATGAAACCCAATCTGTATCACCAGATAAACAGTGAATTATAAACAATCAACCTTGAGCTATTGACCTGCTGTCATATACGTCCCCGGTCAAATTATTGTTGTTTTTCGCTGATAACATAATAAATCAACTAAAATCTCTATATCTTGTCTACGCCTAGGAGCTTATCAGGATATTCCTTCTATCTGACTTTATTTCTTTGGATCATTGAAAAAAATGAAAATTTGGGATATGATACTGATTTTTTTTTAATTATTTTTAAAATGAGCATGCACATGTTGGGTTTTAAACCTCAGAGTTTTACAATCAAAATTTCATCACATCATTAACAGCACTAGCAGTTTAAATACTAAATGATGTTAAAAAACTACCATTTACGATACCAGCTTGTAGGAACTACCCTCATTGCCATAAAAGGTTCATTGTACATAGTATGGCAGGATTTGTACATGTACCAACATTTGTGACATAAGTACTTTCCACATGTAGTTTGCTGTATAAGCTGTGTATAAACAGTATGATGGATTGCAGGTACATTATGTGTACTTGTAAGAAGCACTGCATCATCTATAGCTGCTGCAGTGGTATTGACTGAAGGTTTTACTGCCATCAATCTGTTCTGTCTATAGTACTATAGATAAACCTGATGACCCTATACAGTGACTCTACAGCATCTTTGATGGCCTCATTAAAAATAAGGATGTAATAGTTGTATAATACATTGTCTACATGAAATCTATGTTACCTGGCCTTGGACATAACATTAGATTCTAAGATATGTTTACATGTTGTTTACATGAAGGCTCACAGTGGTATCCCGCCTCGGACTAAATGCTAGATAATCTAACCCGGGGTAACTTTGGTCTTAACGCTAGATTCTCACCTCACCTTAATAAAACACTAGATTCTTACAACCACATGTAAACATATGTAACCTTAAGTGTATAAATACATAATAACTTTTGTAGTTTTATATTAACACATCATCTTTCTACTCTGCCTGCCATCCATACACAGTCGTCCTTACTCACACCCACCCATACACAGTCATCCTTACTCACACCCACCCATGCACAGTCGTCCTTACTCACACCCACCCATGCACAGTCGTCCTTACTCACACCCACCCATGCACAGTCGTCCTTACTCACACCCACCCATACACAGTCGTCCTTACTCACACCCACCCATACACAGTCGTCCTTACTCACACCCACCCATACACCCACTCTTACATATACAAACACACAAACACAAACAATCAAGGATTCGAAGAAATGCAAAAAAATTAAAAGCTTCTAAAAACTGTGAACAAAAGTACATGAATCGGGACATTATTAAATGTGTAGTGAAATCTTTACAGTCTTTTAAAAAACCCACATTACAATGACTTTTTGTGGCATTTCATGATAATGTAAAATTTCAGTGTAAGCTGATTGGACTAGTACTTTAAAGGTAAACAAAATGTATAAGTAAAAACATGACTACTGTCTAACCCTCCAAAATTGGAAGACTTTAATTTTCAGTATGATGTAAATGATACATGATTGTATGCAATATACACGCTCCATACATATAGGCCTCCTGCCTGCAGATTAGGAAATTATGAATGTCAAGTGTACATGTTTAAGGAACTAATCACTTCATCGTGAGTTAGGATACAGAGCAGACAGTTAATTCTTCCTTAAACCACAATTCTGAAAATCTGATGAATCAGGAAATACTTATTTCGATGGAAGTGACAAAGTCCTTGTGAATGGAATCTTCCTAATAGCACCATACTTTGTGTCAAACCATAACGTCCTTGAGAGTAAAATCTACCTATAATAGTAATAGTAGATAAATCTGTGTCACAGGCTGGATTCAAGGAAGCAAGTTTGACTCTTGTGTGTGTGTGTGTGTGTGTGTGTGTGTGTGTGTGTGTGTGTGATACGATTACATACAATTATCACTCTCCTTTACATCATTACTCTGTTTAACCTGTTTTAAAATATGTATTAATATTGTGTTTTGTATCTTATAAGTCGTCTGGCTTACAGAATAAACTAATTGAATTGACTCTGTGTAATATAAGATTTACATATTTTCTAGTTTACCCTTTTGGCCTTTTTTAATTACTTTATTAAATCATTAATTCCACGGAAGTACTGGTAGATGTATGTGACACCTTTGCTGACAAATTATAATTAACTCATGATCATGATTATTCAGGAAGGAAATGCATATATAAAGTTTATTTGTATTATTCAGACAGGTTTATTTAAGCTTCATCAATAAGATGTCTTTAATGATAAGATAAATTTTACAGCCCAGACGAGATTTCACAGAATACTCCTCACTTATTTCCGTTTTGATTTACGGTAAATTCTGAAGGTCACAGAAACCTAATTTTTACTTCATTGCACAGTGCTGAAGACCTCTGTGTGGGGTACGGATGTACCGTATATTCCTACTAATAAGGTTGGTCTGGTTTCGTTAGGTTTTATGTCCTATTAACAGCTAAAGTCATTAAAGGATCCATGTGTCCAACTAATAAGCGCCATGGGGGCTCAATCAGCAGTTTCTAAAAGTAAAAGTTTTTGGAAAACCTTCCAAAGCTCTCAGAAATAGACAGAATATATATATATCTAGTCCTTTTTTTCCATGTAAATTGGTAATTTTTGGTGAGTATTCAATATACATTGCACATCTGTTAGTCCCATTGTACCTACATCAGCATGTTTGATAACCTGACAATAAGCTATTGTCCAGCTCCCGTGGACTTTATATCGGGGGGGGGGGGTTAAGGTTAGAGTTAGGGTTAGGGTTAGTCCTGTGCATGCAATAAATCAAAGTCTTGATTGTGAACTTACAATTACTTGTGTATCGCTGACAGCTGTGTACTGTCATAGCCATCAGGAGCATTGTTCACTAATTAAAGGGACGCAATATTTAATCATTCGTTTATATGACGTTAAATGCAGCACTGTTCTGTAGTAGCTATAAATAAATATACCAGAATAGTCCAATGGCTTTAATATATTTCATCAAAATAAAAGCAATGTACTGGGAAATTGTAACTTGCATGCATATACGTCTCCCAAAAAAGTAGATTATTTACAGCGGATCTTTGCAATAGGTTTTTTGTTGGATCAATGGTATTGGTTATTCATTGTCGATCATTTAAATAGGTTATACGTATACATTGTCAACAAGTCAAGATTCCTAGTATTATAAGTACATGTACATCACTTTGTAATTAAACGTATTATAACTTATAATACGTTTTAATTATAAAGTGATTAACATGTACTCATAATTTACTTGTACATGTACATCACTTTATAATTAAAACAAAGAGAATGATAACCTGTTGACTTGGTGATAAAGATTAGTTTAGTAGAAAAATGGTAGATACATACTTACTTACTGCCCATTACGCCCAGTGGCATATATGTATCTTAAATCATTAACCTTGTGATAATTTAATTCTGTGATTAAATGATATGAAATTATCCCAAGCAAAGTTCTTTCCAGCACTTTTTTTAATATTGGAATTTTCAGCTCTAAAAAGCACCTTTAAGGAGAAACAACCCATGATATGTTCCACTGTAAAAATGAAATCTCGCATTGCTGCCAGATCTGGGTTCCTTCCCAAAAACATATATATATACCAGGCAATACTCAAAATTCCGATTTTACATGAAGTATTAGAATTAGTATAGTATGTATACAGGGCTTTTCCACATCTAACTTGATTTGTCACAGTTACCATTAAAACAAAGAACACTTTTAACCTGGACTTGTCCATAAGAAAATTTTGTTAAAGATTAAAAGGGAAATATGGGGTCCTTAAAGTATAGGGATCCCCTTTTTTGTGCCCAAAAAGAGGCAAGGAAAATCCCTGGTAATTTGTATGTATGTATATATATATGATGTACAATATATAATGTACATGTGCAAGGGCTGACCTGTTTAGAAATGAAACTGACCAATTCCTATATATTCCATCGAAGTTCAACACACCTGCAGGTAAAAACGTTATCAAGGTATATACTACATTTGCTTTCCACAGGGTTTAAGGATAACTGTACCATCAGGAAATACAAGTAGGTACAGATTTTTTTGCACATTCAGCTGTGTCTTATAATTATCAATGAAATTAGACACTGGCAAGGTTATCACCTGTCTGACGCTTGTCAATCCTACGAACACATCAAAAACAAAATATATATGATCTAATCAAAGATCTATAGCAGTTTTATTTTTTTTTAGATAAATAAGTAGACACCAACAGAATATGACTGGGCTGAAGCTGTGTACAGTCATAATGGTTCTGGGACTGGGAGGTAAATGAATGCTGTAAAATTTCATGATAGAGGAAAGTTGTATCTTTTAATATTAAATAGTTACATCTATTAGATCCAAAGACTGGTGCTATACCTGTAGTGGTACGCTCATGATGTACAAGTACTCATTTGATCATGGTATGGGATTCTAAAAATAATTTTATACAGAATATTTCAAATAGGACAAATTTAAAAGTAAAGTTATGAACATTACTGGTACATTCAATAAAGTATAATATACACAAGCATTGCTTACCTGAATAATGGTAACGATATGACAAGGATTTAGCGTGTAAATCATCTGTCCTGTAGCTAGCTTGAATCCAAGTTCAATTCCGAAAGTCAAACACATGACCACTAATAAAATGCGTTTCCCACATCTGTCTGTTTTCTCGAGGGGCGTCACCTTTTTTGGAAGAGTCAGACGCATTAACGATGGGTAGATCATAAATCCTGCTACTACACACGCAAATATACTCTCTAATATTCTTTGAAATAACACAATAAAGTTCCGGCATTTCTCTCCACCATTTCCAGCAAGGTCAAAGTTTACCCCATTGTACGCCCAATCAAACATCCCCTTATCAGCCTCAGGGGTTATGGCTTGCTCTGTTGCAATCATCATGGTTACAACAGAGGTCAAAGGTTAATGATCACCAGGTCATGGTCAGTGTTTCCGAAGGAGGCACCTGTAAAGAAAGAGCAGAAAAATGATATCCTCAGATACTACTTGACCAATGCCCAGGAATAAATTTCATGTCAGGTTAATGAAAATTTTAATATTTACTTAAGGATTGACCTTCATTTTGACGGCGTATACGGTATTATGAATGCAGTTGGCAAAAAATATATTCTATGGTGAGCGTTAGTGCTCAATAAAGAATATGTTCGTTGCCAACTGCATTCATACTACTGTGTATGCCGTCAAAATGAAAGTCAATATATACTTACATTCAATAAATGTTTAAATGCTACATTACGCCGAAAAAAAAGTCGAAGCAGGTTGCCATGATGGTGACTACGGTAGCCGTGATTGCTAGGACAATATAGTTCCAATGAATTTACATCGATATATGAGTAAATTTAGAAAATATGCATCGAACAACACTATGTTTGTTCCTGTCATGGTTTTTAAATTTCAAATTTAGCAATGTGAGAAGCCTTTCAAACTTTTCCATTCATTTACAACGGTTGTCATGTACGCACATTGACACACTGCCCATGGAGTGAGGCGGTCAGAACGAAGCCGCCATTGTTGACGTTACCGCTAAAGAAATTTGAATGTGCGTCCATGGAATAAGAAGTTTGTCAGCATTCTTTTGTTGTATAATTAGACATAATGGATCCTGAATATGTTCTATGTATCTGGATGGTGAATGATCCCAAGCTTGGTTGTCATTGGACTGTTATCTTGCTGAAGTGTAAATGGCGCCATATTTATAAGTATCAATCAGCCGAGCCTTTTTTCACTACGTATAAGCTAATTTATATGCAGTCAGAGTTTACTAAGTTAAGTTAAGTTTATTTCCGGTTCAGGACTAGTAAAAGTCCTCTATACCAGACTCTTATGTTACACAATACATAAATATACATATTATATATATATATATATATTACTAAGCTGAAGAAGGGAGACAAAAATGTAAATATAATAAATTAATAAATTAATAATAAATTAATAGTTTAGGGTAATAGAATTTTTCAAAATCTATCATTTGGCAAAAAACATGTACTTGAAAATATGACTATTTACAACCACTCCTGTGGTAAAGTAACAGCCTGCAGGTTTAGTTTAATCATGCTGTTTATAAGCATTAAGTTGTTTTTTTCCATTGTTTCCTAATATATAATAGAAATAATAAACTGTACAAATGTATACACTCTGTCCAATATTTATTATGATCTGGTCAAATGTTACTTTATATCAGGATTAATGTCATAAATCTTTGCAAAGCTGACAACTTAAGAACCACTTGAGTGGTGACCTTTGATCACCTAATGCTCTAAATCTTGGAAGATAGGTGACCTTTGCTTAAATAGTGTCTACGAAGACAGATGAATTTGACTAACAGTTTCTATGAAATGAGACAACTTTGACATAATAATTGCCATGAAGGAAGATTACTTTTCACTGAATACCTGGTATATTATAAAGAGAGTCTGTGATTTTTGACTGAATACTTTCCAGGAAGAGGTTGGGCCAAGGGAACACAATTTTGTAAAAATGGTGGGTGTGGCCCCCTTGGGGGCAGTAGCTAGGGTGGGGCCGAATAGGGGAAATAGAGGTAAAACCTTTAAAATCCTTATTCTACCATAGGGATTAAGGGATTTTATCCTAAATTAGTCTGGAGCATCCTTGGGCCAAGGGGACACAATTTTGTAAAAATGGTGGGTGTGGCCCCCCTGGGTGCAGAGCGGCAGGGCAAACAATGGAAATAGAGGTAAAACATTTAAAATCCTTCTTCTACTATAGAGATTTAGGGATTTTATTCTAATTTAGTCTGGAGCATCCTTGGGCCAAGGGGACTCAATTTTGTTTAAAACAACAGTTGATTGTGGATATGTCTGCGCCCCCATAATGATACCGACAACCCTAGCCTAAATAGTTTGATTGACAAAGAAGAATTTTCACTCCAATACGTCAGAATCGATGCTGATTACGATGGATATTTCAGATGCCTTCAAACTTATCCCCATCAACCCAGACCTCTGGCCATTTCATGGAATATCATGGCAGGACAGTTTTTATTTTTTTGTGTGATTAGTGTTCGGCAGCCCATCAAGTCCTAAAAGTACTATTTGCTGGATAGCCGAAAACAATTACAATATTCAGAATTTGCTACACCTTCTGGATGATTTTTCATTCATTGTGCCACCCTGCGACGATGCAGATAGCATCATGCAGGTTTTTTCTTTCAGTCTTAGAGAAACTCAATGTACCCCTAGCCGTGCATAAAACTGAAGGTTCATTTGCCTTGACTCAATTAAAATGAGGCAAGACTTCCATATGTGAAGATAGAGAGAATATTTGGTGTTATGAGCAGCCCCCAAGAATGCCAAAAAAATAATTTTTAAATTTGTATAACTGAACAAGTCACTAGTTTCAAACCTTTAATAAATTCTTGAACTATAATTACTTTTGTTTTGTCGTGTACAGACTAAATACTCTCCATGAAGGTATGTTAAATTTACATTTGAAGTCGAAAATCTTGTAGCTGAAATTTATTCTGGCAGTTTACATGAAATACTTATTTAAAAGTTTAAAGAACAAATGAGCTATTAATGTTGCAATAATTTTCAAATCTGCAACATTGTACATTGTAAATGTTTTTACTGTATATATATATGGTGCTTTAATATTCCCCCCATTTCAACAGGTATTTTGGAAGACTATATATACTTTTGACCTCAGTACCATTGATGAATGAAATGACCATATGTTGCATTAAAAATAAATAGTTTTCTCCATCAACTTACTAAATATTCAAATAGCACACCTTCCTTGTACTTTTTGTGATTTTTTATGAAATTATGGTACTTTGAATACTCACCACGTACAGTAGAGTTACATTTGACCTTAAAATGGCCTTGTCATTATCAGATATCTATATCTGATCGGTATAATGTTTTTGTTCCAATATCTAAACATTCCTGATTTAATTAATCAATATTGTATCTATAACAAAAGCCTCAAACTGACCATTGAGGCAGGATAGCCACGGTCCACAGATCAATCTAGTCTCTTTAATGTTGAATAGAGTTTTAGGCCATCCTCTGTTTAGTAAATATTAACACAGCCGTCACTGTACAATGTACAGTAGATCAATCCCTGATATGATGGAAGGGGTTCATCATCATGTCGTCATAATGGGAAGCATTTGTTTGCAACTGTTTGTTATCAAGTTATATTAAACTTGAACAGGTACAAACAGTTCTGGTTCATACCAGTTAGTTTTGTCCGTGCATTTCAGTTGAAATGGAACAGATTTATTCAGAAAAGTATCTATAGTACTACTAAGGTTTGAATTGTGCATTCATGTGTAATGAACAGTCTATAATTGTACGGAGCTTGTGTACTAAATCACTTCTTAGTGCATAACAGTTTGTGATTGTTGGAGCATTACTAATTTATATAACCAGACTTTAAATAATGTTTTGTCTTGTTTTTATAAAGAAGTTGAAGAAAAACCTTTGAGAAAGTAGTAAACCACATAAAAATGAATAGTGCAGTGACACATTACACATCGTGTTAACTCGGAGTAAATTTAAAATGTGTGCTATTATGTTATATACATTGGTAATACGATGTCCTGATACAACCTCTGTCAGAGAAGGAAAGAAGAAATACTTACAGCTACTGCTAGGTACACAAGTCACACTAGATTCTGGAGGTCAGAGAAGTCACCCTTATTTATTCTAACTTTCCCAGTAAACGACGCCAAGAATTATTCATGACAAACAATCTTATACACCTCATCCTGTACATATTTATACAGCTGATGGGATCATGTTTGTTTACTGAGGATTTTACATCTCTGTAACAGCTAAGGTGATGGTATGATTGGATACATATAGTTATTATTGTGGCAAAACGATGGCCCAAAATAGCAAAATAGAAAACAAACAACAATGGCCATGGCATAGATCTAGATCTTCAGCTATATTTCAGTGGTTACATTGGGAAATGAACCTCCAGAAACGATGTTTCAAAATTTACTGTTATTACTGCCGAGTGCTGATCAGGTATAGTTTTTCATTTGAAATAATATATTTTTTTAGAGGTAACTGTTTGTTTGTTTGTTTGATTTTGTTTAACGTCCTATTAACAGCTAAGGTCATTTAAGGACGGCCTCCCATGTGTGCAAGATGCATGCGTGTAGTTTATGTGTGTGTATTTTGGGAGGCTGCGATATGTTCGTGTTTGTCTCCTTGTGATAGCGCGGAACTGATGCCGACTTTATAGTGCTACCTCACTGAAACATACTGCCGAAGACACCAAGCAGGACGCCCCATCCGGTCACATTATACTGACAACGGGCGAACCAGTCGTCTCACTCCTAATTTGCTGAATGTTAAGCAAAAGTAGAAACTACCATTTTTAAAGACTTTGGTATGTCTCGGCCAGGGGACAGAACCCAAAGCCTTCCTCACAGGGGCGAACGCTCAACAAATGGCCAAAAGTGAGGCATTGTCAAGGGAGACATTAGGAAAAAGAAAGTTATTTAGAAAGGAGAGAAGAGATAAGGTCCCAAATTTAGTCGCCTTTTACGATCATGCAATTGGGGGCAGCAGGTACAATTCTTATGCCCTACCTGCAGGGTCAACCCAAAGGCTAGAAAGGCCTTAACTTTGAATAAAAGAGGTGGATAAACAGAGTCGGAGCTTTCAAATATTTGGAATTAATGCATTTTTAGGGCTTTTCACCAACTGGTGAAAAGACCTTTTGTTTTTGTTATGTTTCTTATTCTTATTATTCTTTTTCCGAACTTGTGAATTCTGTTTCTTTTGATTGGTAAAAGATAGGTTTATAGTCTTTTAGGTATGTTGTAGGAAAAGGACTGAAGCTGATCAAGCAACATTTTCAAGTAGGTCAAAAATTAAATATGGCCGCCATGACGTCATAGGTCAAAATCTTAAAATGGCCATAACTCAAAAACGATTCAATTTACAGAATTGACGCAATTATATTATATGTAGATAAACTTCGGGGCTAACTTTTATACCACATGTTATTTCATTTAAAGGTCAAATAAAAAAGCTTGCTGTTGGGTCAAAGGTCACAATTTTTAAAAAAACATTCATTTTTCATATTTTTTGAAGAATATTTCTACAGATTAATGAAGAATGTCATTACGATGAATTTGATGTCTTTAGTTTTTCTGTAACATTTACCGTTAAGGTTGTACTCCATTTTGAAATATTTCCTTTGATCTTTTAAAAATTTCGCAATATATTAAAACTCGTTTTACTCCAATATCAATGACAAATATTTCCTTTAGTTGTAACGGGAAAAGTTTCCCTAGATGTCTTCTAACATTTGGTAACATTTTCAACTTCATCAAAAAAACAAAATGGCCACCATGACGTCATAGGGTAAAATCTTTAAAACCGCTATTACTCGAAAACTGTTGATTGTACAGAATTTGTGAAAGTAAATTATTTGTAGATAATTTCCATATCTAACTTTTTCTCACTACATGTTAATGCAAAATATTTCTAATTAAAAAGTGCGCCCCTGGGTCGAAGTTCACCAATTTTTTTTAAAAACATTCATTTTTCATTTTATTTGAAAAATTCTTCAATAGATTGATGAAGAATGTCATTCCAATGAATTCGATGTCTTTAGTTTTTCTGTAACATTTACCGTTAACGTTGTATGCCATTTTGAATATTTCCTTTGATCTTTTAAAATGCTGACAATATGTTAAAACTTCAACAATCTTCTTCTCCAATTCTGCCATTGCAATATTAACCACAATTAATACATGTATCCCTCTAAGGGCCCTTAAAAACTTGTGTTACTTTTTGGAGTCATCAATATTCCAAGATGGCTGCCACGAACTCTGACTGGTTAACAGCCTATACCAATATATTTCATTAACGATATCAAACACGAGGTTGATCTTTGGATATCATGTAGAGATAGCCAAGGGCAAACTTTTTCTTTCGTACTGTTTTAACAAAAAATGTCAACTTTCGGTTTTCGGCAGGGGTCAAAGTTAAAAGGCACTGTATTGGGTACCAACCTTAAAAAATCTTCTTCTCAAGTTCCACAAGGTCTAGAGTCTTGATATTTTATTATAAGAATTCTGAGATGTCGGGGTATCAGGTTTGAAAAAATGGTTGATATTGATCAACTATCAAGGTCACAATCAAGGTCACAAACTTTATATGTGCTATTTCAAGATAATGACTTCAAAAAACTTCTTCTAAAGTTCTAAAAGGTCTAGAGTCCTACTATTTGATACATAACATGGTCAGGTGATTGACTATCAAGTTTGAAAAAATGATTGACCTTGAATGACTTTCAAGGTCACAAAGGTCATATATGTAAAAATATTGAAACCACTTTTTCTGAATAACCAATAACTCCAGGGTAACGATGTTTGGCAAAGAAGCATGCTTGAATGAAGGGCTTTAAAATGTGTGCAAATGAACGACCTTGACCTACTCCAAATATAATTTCAAAGGTGAAAGTCAAAAACCGTTTTCATTTTTGTGCGATTGTGAAGTGCTTTCAGTACTCTCAGTACTTTGATTTATATCAAGACATCTAATACACGCTGGTAAAACTACATCGATTACTACGCACTCCCAATCTTAAAAATGTGGACAGTTTACACCTCTATTGCAGTGGGTAAACATCAGCCTTTCTCTGGCGTGGCAAACCCAACCGATATAGACACAGAGATAGTTTCAGTAAATCGTCCTGACGTACATAGTGGATGGACTATATGACGACATTAACGGACTACATTCGTATACAATACCGCCCATTGGCTGCCTATATTTATCCAGTCTTTCTCTGACGTCACTTCGCACTCCGGGAATGCCCCACTACTCAGCCAGCTACTGTAGACTTGTACAGGTTATTATTAGAAGGCCAAATCAGTACTTACAGTGAAAAGCCCGTCAAATTGTTAGCCAACAATTTCTAGTTTTCTTTTGTTTTTCATTTAACAAGGGTAACAGTCAACTTTAATTATTCTTAAATTTATTAGGCGACAGAACTGATCAAAATCAATTGTTTATATGTAACTGAAAATTGATTGTTTAAATGGCAATGATTCCTGTTACTACTTATTGACCCTAAATTCCCCCTGGCAAGATTTTACATATGAGAGGACTCAGGCTTCTCTTGCTGTAATTGATAGCCCAGAACAATTTTAGCCTCTGCATTCGGGGATTATCAAAGTAAATAAATTTTCTGGTAGATTCTTTAGTGAGTTTTCATTTTACATTTTTAATGAGGCTCTGCTGAGTTTAATGGGAAATTTTATTACAATTTTGTCAATCTCTTATGAAATGGAAAATTTCCTTTTCTAAGTAGCACATGGAAATATGCGAAAAACATCAAGTTTTCTTTAACCATCTTCATGACTTGCATTCAACTATTGTTTTCAAAGTGACATCAAAATGTCATAATATGGTTTATTATGGTTAATTTAAAAGGAGAGGGAAATGCACAACCAGGCCCCAATTTGATCCGAGGACCCTCTAAACTCTTTAAGAGAGATGGTCTAATAACCTGATTGCCAGTGACTGATCCAGGTACCCTACACAACATTGACCTTTTTTTATAGTGCAATAAAGACTGACTCTAAGGCGAATTTCTATTACAGGATGGGAAAAAAATGAATATGTGTTTTGCTGGGGATCAAATACATGACCGCAGACTCTCTAATCTGACACTCCGATCCACTGCTGAGGTAAACTAAAAGGTAAATTCCCTTCTGGTACTGGTAATTTAATTTGTTCAAAAGAATTTTATAATTAGAACAATACTTGATAGCAACAGAATATTTATGGACACCATAAATAGACCTACCGAATAATTGTTTCTGGATCATTGAATGCAAAGTGTTTACAATTATAAACTTGTCGGTTCCGGGTTGTTTTGCCCTAAATCCTGTTTGCCCTATAGGTTGATTTGCGCTAGGTTGTTTCTTCTTCTTCACAATCATGTGCAAGATTGTTTCGCTCTAAAACGAAACAATGTTTGGTATTTTCTGTCAATTTTAGTAGTTTTTTTAATTCACAAGTTAAGTCTTCCTAGTCTTCTATATCATTAAAATCAATTTCATAAAAAAATGTGTTTGTCTTGTTTTTTAGCGAGTGTGACAAATGTCAACTGTAAAAAGCTGACTCCGCTCTCACATATACTCTACATGAAATATACCTAACACCAATGTAGAAAGTCATCTGTAACTTTAGTTGATATATTTAGATATTAATTATTATATTAGCATATAAATTAAAAATATATATATTTAGGGCGACACAACCTGTTACCAACTTGTCTCACATAAACAATAAAACAATTAAGTCCTCTTGTTCCGCGTAGATTCCAGTTTTGTTTAATCAAAATCAACAGATGATTAAGCCATAGTAATAATACTCTACTGTACGTCACCTAACTATTTTGTTTCAGTTTAAAAACTGTAGAACATTGATTGAGTGATTACAAACAGATACTGTCCCTTAAGTGTTTTCACGAAGTCAAACAAAACATTGTAAACGTTTTATATCTATAAATGGGACATATACTATAGTAGCGACTCTTTCAAGTTAAAGAACAAAGACGTTATCTCGATAACAATAGCACCATCTTCGGCTCTTTGCCAATATTTGCCAATTTGCCAATGGTTTGACACAATTTTCAAGCGCGAAATAAATGTTAAAATATTCTTGTAATAGACCTTTGTATACCCAATTGCAAAGGCGACAGCACTTACCATACGTGTCACAGCCATCCATCAGCCTCAGCGGTCGGTGTTTGTACCCTATAGGCACTGTTACTCCTGTCATTTCATTTTTGACAGAGCCCGACTGTTTACTTAAAACCGGAAGTTATACCGAGGTCAATCAGAATTGATTACCTTAAATCGCATTTACAGATAAATATTTAAAGTATCATCCTATTATATGAGAACCATATCTTGTTTGGTATCATAAAATTAGTTAATAACGCTAAAATTGGAAATAAAACCGATTCTAAATATAGCACAAATTAATCCGCTTTATCCGGATTCAAGGGCAAGAATACCATTGACGATTTGATTGGTTGTTGATTGACGGAAGGGGGTTTCACATAAAAGCGTCTTCAACCGACAACAAGGACCTTCAAGTGACAACAAGCGTCGCCAGACAAAACCTTCAAAATTACTGAATAAAGTAAGCGACATCAGAAGATATGTTGTTAATATGACAATAATACACCTCTGTACCAAATTTCAATTTGATATTTGAAAAATTGACCGAGTTATGATGAATTGAATTTTTACGATCGCGGCGTGGCACATGTGTGTATTAGCTGGAAAAGTGTAGAAAGCGTCGCCAGATAATATCGTTACAATTACCCGCGGTATAGGACGCGCCGCGTGCAAGGGTCGAGTTCAATTTCAATTTTTTTTTTTTTTTTTNAATACTCGTTATTTAAGGGATAAAACTTGCCTGAATAACAATAATTATAACAATACATGAATATTCATTTGGAAATTTATCTAGCACGTATAAGTAACGAAACGTTTTGATGATTTAATATAAGAGTCAACATGTATAAGAATAGTTTTATTTAATTGGTTGGATGCATTACTAATACCATATACTAAACAGTGCAGATTTAAATATCCTACTAGATTATAAATAGTGGTAATATGATGCCTAATATTAGAATACAGAGGACATTGAAAGAAAAAATGTATTAGATCTTCCCTCTGTACACCACATACACAGGAAGCATCATCAATCAGATGGTCTTGTAACTTATCACAGTTAAGATCACTTTTAAAATTTCTTAGCTGACATAAAATTATGTTAAGTTTCCTCGGAACACAGTTAATAAAAGTTTCTGAGACGGATGTATCAAAGGTTTTTTTAAGTTTCTTTTTAAAAGATGAAATTGAGATGGAGTCTCGTACAGTGCTATCAAGTGCATTCCATTTTACCATTGTAGAAGGGAAGAAGCTATTCATATAAGTAGTAGTTCTTGTCTGTGGTATATTAAAGAATCTGTTATTTCTGAAGGTATAGTTATTATTTACATTTAGAAATGGTTGAATGATATTATCGAGATAAGTTGGAGTGTAATTATTAAGAATCTTATACATTAATGTTAGTTTATGATTTTGTCTTCGTGTGTGTAATGTTTCAAGTTGTGTTTCAGTATACAGAATATGATGAGATGTACCTCGTCTGAGGCCAGTAATTAAACGCATAGCTTCTAGTTGAACTGATTCTAAAAGATCTGATTCCGATTTGGTACAATTATCCCATACTATATCAGAATATTCTAGCACAGGTCTTATATAAGAGACATATAATGTTTTTAATGTATTCCTATCAACTGTAGTTTTTAAAATTCTAAGAATACTTAGTCTAGAGTTCGCTTTCTTATAAATATTTGAAATGTGATCTGACCATGTCCCTTTACTGTTAAATGTTAGTCCTAAGTGAGTATGGTGAAAGGGTCGAGTAATACCGTCTCAGTACAAAAATCTCGTCCAACTGTGGCTGTGGGTTAAGTGGTACGGTTTTTTGTTTCACCATCTTACAAAACATATCTCACTCTACATAGTGATGTATTCAAGAAGTTTATGACCACCGATGTCTCCAGAGTTTTCCTGCAGGTTGCAGGAAATGACATCACTGCAATACAAGCAGCACCCCAAGGTCCACTTCTGGTCATTGCGGGGGCTGAGGCGCCTCAAAAGGTCAGACTTTGTTCTTGGCGGTTCTCCAGACAGGTTCGACTAGCGCTGTTCTGACAGACTGCGCTAGTCGCCTGCTTAAACGGCCCTTTTCAGGGCCACCATCTTTCTCAAAAAGTCCTGAGAAGCTCGAAAATTACGCATTCCGATCCCCCTCCCACTATATTAGTTATAATAAAAAGATAATTAAACACATTGTTAAATGTATTCTTAATCGGTTACAGTTAAAATCTAAATTGTTCAATAAATGCAATAATGTTATTCTTGACACAGCTGATTAAAGTTGTATCAATGTTTATAGAGCAATATATTCTAACTGTGTTCACCTATGCCAGAGACGTATAACACATACACAACGTCTCTGCCTATGCGAAGCCCTATACCCTACGTACACATATGTGGCACGGCGTATAGCTTAATATCTGTACATCGTATGAATTAAATTCACGACAACTCAATCATTTTTCAACAAATCAAATTAAAATTTGATATATAGTTGAATCATAGTCATATGAATTACATATCTCATGATGTCGCTTACTTTATCAATTATTTTAAGAGATATAGTTTGAAGACGCTTCACAATCTGTCGAGTTCTATTCACACACGTGTGCCAGGCCGTCGATCGCATTAATCAAAAACATCATGAATCGGTCATTTATTAAAATTTCTACCTGAAGTTTGGTATGAAGGTGTATCATAGTTATTTGAATAACATATCTTCTGATGTCGCTTACTTAATCGATGAATTTTAGAGATATGTTCTGAAGACGCTTCTTCATATGTCGAGTTCTATTCACACACGTATGCCACGCCGCCGATCGTAATAATAAATTATTCATAACTCGATCATTTTTTCAAATATCGAGCCGAAATTTGGAATATATATCAATAAAAGCCTACCTAATAACATATCTTCTGATGTCGCTTACTTTAGCGGGTAATTGTAACGATATTATCTGGCGACGCTTTCTTCACTTTACATGCTAATACACACATGTGCCACGCCGCGATCGTAAAAATTCAATTCATCATAACTCGGTCAATTTTTCAAATATCAAATTGAAATTTGGTACAGAGGTGTATTATTGTCATATTAACAACATATCTTCTGATGTCGCTTACTTTATTCAGTATTTTTAAAGATTTTGTCTGGCGACGCTTGTTGTCACTTGAAGACGCTTGTTGTCGGTTGAAGACGCTTTTATGTGAGACCAACGGAAGGGGTTTCCCCAAACGCATGCTGTACGATATTAGACCACGTTTTGCCGAAGTTAATAAACAGACATGGTTGTTTTGACAACTTTTTCGGCTCCTTCGGAGTTAGTTCGACACAAGGAAAGAGATACAGTCGTTAATATTGATGGTACTGGGTATGGAAACGGTACACTCTTCATAACTGAAACGTGAGTACTGAAAAGTAGCGTACTAATATTATAATATTGGGGTAGGGAAGACTTTTTGTTTATACTTTAAGTATTTTTAACATATTTACATAGACTGGTGTCGTGTATACACCTTTTTACTCTCAGTGGCACCAATGATTTTATAATTTACAGTTAATTTTAATTTATAACAACAAGAAAAAACATCAGCCCACACCTTTGAGAATTGTTAACGTCAAATTCTAGTCCAGTCAGGAAATGTCTTTGCAGTCACTGCTTTTAACATGTTTTTATCCTATAACAAATAAAAAAGTAATCACTGTACATTATTAACGCACAACAGTACAATTACCCTATTTCCGAATACAATAGACAGTACTATGCCAGATATTGTGATTGGAACAGAGACTTGGCTTAACCGTAGCATGTAGAGAAGGGCACCATTTTGGAAAAAATATGTCTTTGCCACAACTATCAGAACCCAGACAGTTACAGACAGCACCCATTCATGCCTGGGTGTATGACTGGAGGGAGTGGCAGCCATCTATTGCCCTTTGGTAGGGATTCCAGCCTCCAACTCATACAAGCCAATTTGACCAATCTTGGGGTCATTGAGATTCCCAACACCACATGGGACCATCAGCCTACCATGTGAGTTGTGGTTTTGCCCCATTGCTTTCCCTCAGTGTAAACCATGGAGCATGGTCTCACATTCTCAACAGCATTATGGAGGATTGTTGGTTTCCCCCTCCCTAAAAACTCAACTGTTTGGCTGGGGGTCTTTACAACTGTCAGTAGTAGGCAATACTGGATCACAAGTACTACCAGGTATTGCTCCTAGGGTGGCTTAGGTTGGTAAACATATTTCTACGAAGCAATCCCATTTCAAGTCACCCTAGACCTAGCCCATATCTGTTATCTAGTGGTTTGGATTTCTCAGAGCCCATGGACTGTAACGGTTGAGGTGCGACAGAACATTCTCAATCTGTTATTGTTGTTACATATATATGTTGGCTGAGGTCACTTACCCTAAATGTTTGGTATGTGTGTGATATGTGTGGACATTGCCCTTATTAAAAGTTCTGGAGGCTACCAGTTTACCTAGCTAGATCAGTGATACCTCCTAAGTTTTCTCCATGCGGGGACAGGACCTTGTCTGATGGCATCATTGTGTCTTCTGACCTGGCTGCGGCCCAGACAGTAGAGAACAACATTTCTGGCACTTGTGTTACTGGGTTTCATGGGCTGCAACTTAGTATTGCAGAATTATCGGAGGTCAAACTAATTAAACCAGTTTCCATGATGCGATGCTTAACATGGCTTTATTGAGTTGCCCTTCTGTTGTTATTTTCCTCCACTTCCTCTTCATCCTGTGCTTAATCATTTTGCATCAGTTTTGATAAATTTTATTTTTTGTCTTTCATTGCAGTATTGTAGCCTGGCAAAATGTTGAAGGGAAAGGTTTTTCGTTGAATTACCCAAAGATCAGTCTCCATGCATTGTCCAGAGATACATCGGCTTTTCCTCAGGAATGTCTGTACTTGATGGTAGAAGGCAAGCTACCAGGTAAGTTTTAAACCTCAGAGTTTGACCTCTTTAAGACTATGTTACCTTACTGAATTATCTCCATGCTGAAGAGTTCCACATCCCAGGGTTTGAAATCTTGAAAGATGTCTTATTCCAATAATAATGCTAATACAGCTGTTTTCTTCCTGTGAGCCCAATATCTCTGGCATTCCAATTAGATATTATTGTTTTTGTTTTCCTGTGACCAAGAGGTTTTGTCAATTCAAATTAGATATCAATGTTTTTGTTCTGCCTGTGGCCAAAATGTCTAGCATTCCAATAAGATATCAATGTTTTTGTCTACCTATGACCAATATGTCGTATAATTTTAGTTATATATCAAAGTTTTCAATATGTTGGCTATTAAACTGGTGTGATGTTAGAAGAAATATAAAGGCTACAGAGTTAATTTGAATGAGTTTATCATACCTTGTATTGTACTTACAGAAGAAGTTGATCCTTCAGAGAGACAGGACAGTGAGGAAGAAGAGGAAGAGGATGAAAGTCAGGTCATCACCGAAGTACGATTTGTTCCCTCCGACAAAAGTTCATGTGAGTAGTCAGTTCACCTGCGTGACATGCACGACGGTAAAGATATCTTCTTTTTGTACTTGATCTGTATATAGCTAAACACCACCTAGACTAATATTTCTATTTATAAACAGTTAAAATTCACATAATACAAGTTCATTTTATAAAGTTAACTGAAAATTAAAATTTGCAGTGAGGAATGCTTGTGTTTTTGAATTCGAGTAAATTATTATAAAAATATTGTTTATTCATAAATGATAGATATTTAGAATACAGAAAATTTCAGAGCCTTTGCTAATGCGAACATTAAGCTATTAATTTTAATCTGTATGTAAAAGATTAAGTCTTTATTGTTATGACAAAACGGTGAAATATAATGCATTAAATTGTATTAGTGTCTATAACCTGCTTTAGATTTTCATAACGTTTCACCCATCACTTGGTCATCCATTACGGACAGGTTTCATAACAAACTAGCAAACTTCTAACTTTCTAAGTTAATTGTTTCGAGGATTGATACACAATTCATAATTCAAGATAAAGACAATGTTTGTTTCTATCTTTGCATGTTGATTCTGTTTATAAGTCTGTCACAGTACAGACAATGTTTGTGTTCAAATCTGAATGCTGATTCTACATTAAAGTCTGTTACAGTAGAGAAATGATTGTCTCCATGTCAGAAGGTTCATTCTACATTAAAGTCTGTTACAGTAGAGAAATGATTGTCTCCATGTCAGAAGGTTCATTCTACATTTAAATCTCTGTTACAGTAGAGAAATGATTGTCTCCATGTCAGAATGTTGATTCTACATTAAAGTTTGTGACAGTAGAGAAATGATTGTCTCCATGTCAGAATGTTGATTCTACATTAAAATCTCTGTTACAGTAGAGAAATGATTGTCTCCATGTCAGAATGTTCATTCTACATTAAAATCTCTGTTACAGTAAAGAAATGATTGTCTCTATGTCAGAATGTTCATTCTACATTAAAATCTCTGTTACAGTAGAGAAATGATTGTCTCTATGTCAGAATGTTCATTCTACATTAAAATCTCTGTTACAGTAGAGAAATGATTGTCTCTATGTCAGAATGTTCATTCTACATTAAAATCTCTGTTACAGTAGAGAAATGATTGTCTCTATGTCAGAATGTTCATTCTACATTAAAATCTCTGTTACAGTAGAGAAATGATTGTCTCTATGTCAGAATGTTCATTCTACATTAAAATCTCTGTTACAGTAGAGAAATGATTGTCTCTATGTCAGAATGTTCATTCTACATTAAAATCTCTGTTACAGTAGAGAAATGATTGTCTCTATGTCAGAATGTTCATTCTACATTAAAATCTCTGTTACAGTAGAGAAATGATTGTCTCTATGTCAGAATGTTCATTCTACATTAAAATCTCTGTTACAGTAGAGAAATGATTGTCTCTATGTCAGAATGTTCATTCTACATTAAAATCTCTGTTACAGTAGAGAAATGATTGTCTCTATGTCAGAATGTTCATTCTACATTAAAATCTCTGTTACAGTAGAGAAATGATTGTCTCTATGTCAGAATGTTCATTCTACATTAAAATCTCTGTTACAGTAGAGAAATGATTGTCTCTATGTCAGAATGTTCATTCTACATTAAAATCTCTGTTACAGTAGAGAAATGATTGTCTCTATGTCAGAATGTTCATTCTACATTAAAATCTCTGTTACAGTAGAGAAATGATTGTCTCTATGTCAGAATGTTCATTCTACATTAAAATCTCTGTTACAGTAGAGAAATGATTGTCTCTATGTCAGAATGTTCATTCTACATTAAAATCTCTGTTACAGTAGAGAAATGATTGTCTCTATGTCAGAATGTTCATTCTACATTAAAATCTCTGTTACAGTAGAGAAATGATTGTCTCTATGTCAGAATGTTCATTCTACATTAAAATCTCTGTTACAGTAGAGAAATGATTGTCTCTATGTCAGAATGTTCATTCTACATTAAAATCTCTGTTACAGTAGAGAAATGATTGTCTCTATGTCAGAATGTTCATTCTACATTAAACTCTGTTACAGCAGAGAAATGATTGTCTCTATGTCAGAATGTTCATTCTACATTAAAATCTCTGTTACAGTAGAGAAATGATTGTCTCTATGTCAGAATGTTCATTCTACATTAAAATCTCTGTTACAGTAGAGAAATGATTGTCTCTATGTCAGAATGTTCATTCTACATTAAAATCTCTGTTACAGTAGAGAAATGATTGTCTCTATGTCAGAATGTTCATTCTACATTAAAATCTCTGTTACAGTAGAGAAATGATTGTCTCTATGTCAGAATGTTCATTCTACATTAAAATCTCTGTTACAGTAGAGAAATGATTGTCTCTATGTCAGAATGTTCATTCTACATTAAAATCTCTGTTACAGTAGAGAAATGATTGTCTCTATGTCAGAATGTTCATTCTACATTAAAATCTCTGTTACAGTAGAGAAATGATTGTCTCTATGTCAGAATGTTCATTCTACATTAAAATCTCTGTTACAGTAGAGAAATGATTGTCTCTATGTCAGAATGTTCATTCTACATTAAAATCTCTGTTACAGTAGAGAAATGATTGTCTCTATGTCAGAATGTTCATTCTACATTAAAATCTCTGTTACAGTAGAGAAATGATTGTCTCTATGTCAGAATGTTCATTCTACATTAAAATCTCTGTTACAGTAGAGAAATGATTGTCTCTATGTCAGAATGTTCATTCTACATTAAAATCTCTGTTACAGTAGAGAAATGATTGTCTCTATGTCAGAATGTTCATTCTACATTAAAATCTCTGTTACAGTAGAGAAATGATTGTCTCTATGTCAGAATGTTCATTCTACATTAAAATCTCTGTTACAGTAGAGAAATGATTGTCTCTATGTCAGAATGTTCATTCTACATTAAAATCTCTGTTACAGTAGAGAAATGATTGTCTCTATGTCAGAATGTTCATTCTACATTAAAATCTCTGTTACAGTAGAGAAATGATTGTCTCTATGTCAGAATGTTTATATCTACATTAAAATCTCTGTTACAGTAGAGAAATGATTGTCTCTATGTCAGAATGTTCATTCTACATTAAAATCTCTGTTACAGTACAAACAATGTTTTCCTCCATGTCCGACTGTCAAGCTCTACATCCTGATGAACAAGACACAGATTCAGAAGCTGAAGCTGGTAAGAACAGGACATTAAGGAAAGAAGGAATTCCACCAGTAATAATTAAGGAAAGAAGGAATTCCACCAGTAATAATTAAGGAAAGAAGGAATTCCACCAGTAATAATTAAGGAAAGAAAGAATTCCACCAGTAATAATTAAGGAAAGAAGGAATTCCACCAGTAATAATTAAGGAAAGAAGGAATTCCACCAGTAATAATAAGTTAATGTGTCAGCAATTTGATTTAATGATATATCAGCTATCTTTGTTATCAATATAAAAAAGAAAATAAAGAGGCATGAAAATTTAAAAAACATGCATGAGAAGCAACCTTTTGGAAGTATTAATATTTTGATTTGATTTTCAACTTGAAAGGTAATTAAAATTTTAACTGTAGTGTCGGTGAACTTTTTATTATCTAAATATGGAATGATTTAATTGATATTTTTATGTTAATAAATTTGCAATTTGTCAAATGTAAAGATTAAGATTTTGACAGAAAACATTTTTACTTTACAGAAGAGGGCATGGTGTATTATGATGTTGACGAGGGATATGACAACTTGACACTACAGGGACAGGCCACACTACAACATCTGGAGAACCTCCTTATCTCTGGTCAGGGTGATGGTCAGCCTAGCGGTGAAGTACCCAATGGTAGGTTATATGGTCAGGGCTTTACATTGTTCATATTTGATAAGGCGTTGTACATGTACCATATTTGAAATCATTATATTTGAGATGTACAAACCTGAGAAACATCCTTGACATTTTGTTTTAATGAAATCTTTTCGATACAGTTACTTCAATTTACATGTTCTATTAGATTTGGAAAAGAACACAAAATTTCTGAACTTGATATTGTAATATCTGTGATGTCATATGAGTATTTGTTTGACAATGATGAAATGCTTGCCATGTATTCTGTGGTAGTCATTTGAACAACACTCCAATTTCTTGAGATTGTTTTTATATAGGTCAAATGTTTGTGTCACACACCTATGTTAGTTTTGTACTGAGATTTCACCTACAGGTGCACAATACTGTCATGGTGGACACGTAATACAATATTTCATAATTATTTCATTTTCTTTTCGGGAAATAACTACTTTTAACTATTATTTTATCTAATCAAATAAACATTGGTATATTGCAGGCACAAATGTACCATCAGAACAATTTGAAGATGCTGATGAGATGGACCAATAAATCTGATCTGAACTTCTCTGATGAAATGGATCAGTAACCTTTATTTTGGCTACCGAGGAAATGTAAAGTGACCTTGACCTTGGAGGAGATGGACTAAAGCCTTAGCCCTAGCTGCTACTGAGACAGGCCAGTAACTGACTTTGGATACTGAGGAGATAGAAGGTGACCTTGACCTTGGCTGGTGAAGAGATGGACCTGTGACCTTTACCTTGACTGTTTACAAGACAGGCCAGTGACCTAGGTTGTGGCAGTAAACATTAGCGTTGGATTTACTTGTTTCCCAGCATTATTGAATTCTTCAAGAATTTTCAAGTGGAAAAGAACAAAACTGTAAAATGTTTTAAAACTTTTTGATCCCTTATTCAAACTTGTAAACAGAGAGATAAACCTTTTGCTTTTTTAGAAACAATTTTCAAAATTTTCTTCCCTGTGCAAAATTTTGAAATGGCTAAGTGATAGATTATAAGCAGGAGAGTGGATATGTGGAGAGTATAAGTTTATCTGTTACCATTCACAGCTATGTTACAGCTGTTGATCTCAAAAGTGTCAAGGTAGGGCTGAACATAGTCTAAAACAACACTGAACAGTGAGATAGGCAGCATACTAATTCTGGTCAGGGTCACTGTGTGACATATTGTTATTAGACATCGGAACCATATCAGAATAGCTACCAAACACAACTTCATTCTGCTCGACCTTGCTAACCTTTAAGGTTGTACAAACTGTTCATTAGGTATATGAGGTTACCTATATTGTGTCATCAGAGATGTCCAAGTTTGTGGAGGACTATTAAGTGCTATATATAGTTCTCAATGTCACCAACACTTACACACTCACTCAGACTGAGCTCAAACACCGTTCATGTATACATATACCTGGGTAGAGTAACACATGTTTGTAATAAACCAGTGGAAATCAGGATATTGATCTTTATGTTATCATTCGTCATCATCATCATCTTAAATCACATACCACGACCTTTTCTGAGAATATATGTTGAAACTTGTTTGTGGTGAGAGAGAGAAAGAGAGAGTTTGTATGGAATACCATGTATCATATTGTTAGCCATTTATTTGTAATAAAACTGCTTCTTTATCAAAACTCTTTGTGTGCTATATTATATTGACAATGGAGTTTGTTTGTGATTAGTGCTGTACCATATATAGTCTCCCACACTTCAATGCTTTCCTGTTTGAACACTCAAAACATTCCTCTGTCAACACCCTATGGTGTAGACAATCTTAACACTTGACTGAAAGTGGCTGTACTTTTTCATTACCATTAAAACAAGTCAAATGATGGAAATTTTATCATCAGATGATGTCCCATTATGGCTGGGAAGTTGGAATACTGAAAGTATTCTTTCTCGTGGAGAAAAAATTTACAGGTAGGAGAAAATCACATAATTCTCTATTTTAAGGGCTAGACATAAGCATTTGTTCATGGCAGAACCACAAGCTGGACACTCAGAGTTTTACTCCTCTAGCTGGAGGGCTATCAGCATGTGATTTTGCTTGGCTGTCATCAAAAATTTTAGTTCATTGACCCCTAGCCAAGATTTTTGTTTCAATTTTGTAGAAATCTTTAAAGGTTACTCCTTAATAAGAGATGGTGCAGGCATTTAAGCCATTAATTAACAGAAATAGGTGCAAATGAATGATGTTTTTATCCTCCCCCCTCCCCCCNGGTCTTTATTGCTCACCTGAATAATAAAGCAACCATTGGAAATTATTCTTATTACATGTACATCAAATCCCTCCAATGGTTCAGAAGAAGGAGAATTTTAAAGATTTAAACCCCTAATTCCCCTATTGGGCCCCGCAACTCTGCACCAAGAGGGGCCACACTCCCTGTTTATACAAAATTTAATGCATCAAAGAAGGATTTTGAAGACTTGCACCTCAAATTCCCCTTTTTGGCACCTGCACCCAGAGGGGCAACACCCTCCCTTTATATAAAATTAAGTCCCCTTTACCGAAAGATATTGCAGGCCAAATTTGGATAAAATCCCTCCTCAGGGAGCATAATCCATCAGTTTTACTGATTTGTTTCTGGCTGATCTGAAAGTCAATATCTCCAAATTTAACTGTCATTATTAGCTCACCTGGTCTGAAGGACCAGTTTGTGAGCTTATGCCATACCGTGGCGTCCGTCCGTCATCAATTTCTTTGAACGACTTCATCTTCTTAACCACTGATTGAAATTTAACTAAATTTGACTGGAAGCATCCCTAGGTGGTGGTGATTCAATATTGTACAAATGGTGGGGCCGAGGCGCGTGGCAAAAAGGGCGCAATTTGGCTATGTTGCTTTAAGCAACTTCTTCTCTGGAACTAAGAAATGGATATCAACCATATTTGACTGGAAGCGGTGGTGGTGGGGATTCAAAATTGTTAAAATGGTGGGGCCAAAAGGGAGCAATTTGACTTCTCTAGAACTTTGCCATGGATAACGATCATTTTAGGTCGGAAGCTTTCATGGGAGGCAAGGATTCAAAATTTTACAAATGGTGGAGCTGACCCCCCCCCCCCCCCCCCCCCCCCCCCNCTTCAAGGATGGCCCCACCCTTGGAGACAAAGTCCCTGGATCATAACTTTTAAACGGTTGAGGTCCCCACCCCAAAACTATATATACATATGCTGGGCATAAAGAGACGAATGCAGTCATGATATTAGAATAGACCCTGGGGTCTGACCGAACCCCTAGGGACCTAGTTTCTTAGTCACAGCTTGGAAACAGTTGAGATCCCCACCCTTTAACCATACCCAAATTTGCTTGGCATGAAAAATCTTATTCAGATATCTACATGGATTGCCCTTGGGGTCTGGCATATTCCCTTGGATCTCATTAGGAGAAGATTTTGCCATGATTACAGATATCTCCAGGTGAGCGATACAGGCCCTCTGGGCCTCTTGTAATTTGTATACACCTTCAATGTTCTGTTTCTGATCCCAGAATGACCAATACTGACATTAAAAAGATTGATCTAAGAATGACAAAGACAGTAGTTAGGTTTTGTGTTTTATTGGAACACATTATAAATATCCACGTTTAAAGATCATTTACAGACATACTTGATTCAACCAATGACATGAAATACAAAAAGTAAAAGTTCAAAGGTTAGGATGAGGTCAGCTTGGGCTTTTTAAATAAATTATGATAAGAAAGCTATTTGGAGAAAAAAAAGCAAAAAGTTGGTAATATATTTCCTTGTTTGTGAAAGGTGATATAAAAGAAATCAATTCACAGCAATGTTTTATATTACATGAACTAGTTATTTCCAAAATGCATACAAGTACAGTACTAAAACAAGTTTCATTTCTTGTCTTTCATGGAAGCTACATCTACATTCTTCTGAAAATTTTCACAAAATGATGGTGAAATGTACTTTTATATCCTACATAATAAAACTGTTTTTACTGCCAAACGCAAAATTGTATCTCATACAATGAAAGAAAATAAATACATCTGGTTAATATCTTGATGCCAAAAACACTTAAATCTTTCTGGTTTTTGAAATACTGAGCTAAAACATGAGTAGCCGGACGTGTATGCACTTGTGAATAACCAGATCAGACAAAGGACATCACTGTTATTTCCCACACAGACATCTCTTCACAGTTTACCAACAAATGAGATCAATTAGGCCGTTAAAAAACGAAAGTGATATAATACACATTACAAAAACAAAACATAGCTTCAAAATGTTACCTTACTACAGTCAAACTTGTCTTGTACACCAGAGGGACGTTCATGCATGCAAACTATTTTGGCCTTATGTTCTTAAAGATACAATTTTGTAAAAGTACAATGGTTTATCGTAAACAACTGGCCTTTTCGATGAATGTATGAAGTAAGTAATGGTACTGTATTAAAATATCTATGTCGTGTTATTTGTGATACAATGTATTCTGTTGACATACAATGTTGATGGCGATTTCCCTGAATTTATTACATGGTAAATCGGATATATCTGGTGAGATCAATGTTGTCTCGTGTACGAGTCGGTGAAATATTCAAATATCTTATGTATATTCATACACATGCATTTATCCAGGAGTTATATGTCCATTCATTTTTCATGATTTACTTTGCAAATCTAAATCCTTGCAAATTTTAAAGTACAATTGGGAAAAAAGGTAATTTGGTGATAGGCAGTATCCATATTTAGACATCTCCTAGTTGAGACAAATATCTCTAAACAAGTTTGACTGTTCTGGATGATAATACTTGCTTATGGAATATTACTAATTACAGCTGTCCCTGTCACTTATTACATAGACTGAACTACTCAAGCTACACACAGAGTTGTAACATCAAACCACCCCTCCATCTAGTCAAACTATATATGCAAACTTTTGAAAAAAATTGTGAACAATAGAGATCTACTTAATTTGCTAGTTCCCTGGACAGGCTGTTTACAATCAAGTACTTAATTTGCTAGTTCCCTGGACAGGCTGTTTCACAATCAACCACTTAATTTGCTAGTTCCCTGGACAGGCTGTTTCACAATCAACCACTAATTTGCTAGTTCCCTGGACAGGCTGTTTTACAATCAACCACTTAATTTGCTAGTTCCCTGGACAGGCTGTTTCACAATCAACCACTTAATTTGCTAGTTCCCTGGACAGGCTGTTTACAATCAACCAATTGATGACATGAATGTCTCTAACACAGGCATGCTTTCTCAAATTTTGTTTAACTGTTAATACATTTAGTCATTTTTCCTGTTGGAACTTCAACACAGAGCTAGTATTTTTTATACAGCAAGGCAGTATTACACTGCCAAGATATGGTAGTTACCATGGCAACAGGCATGTACCTGTAGTATTACACTGCCAAGATATGGTAGTTACCATGGCAATAGGCATGTACCTGTAGTATTACACTGCCAAGATATGGTAGTTACCATGGCAACAGGCATGTAACAGTAGTTTTAAACTGCCAAGATATGGTAGTTACCATGGCAACATGTGTACCACTAGTATTACACTGCCGAGATACAGTAGTTACCATGGCAACACGTGTGTAAAGAAGTATTACACTGCTAAGATCCAGTAGTTACCATGGCAACAATCGTGTACCAGTAGTATTGCACCGCAGGAATATGGTAGTTACCATGGCAACAATTGTGTACCTGTTGTACTTTAATGGTAAGATGTTAAACACTGGAGAAAGAAAACCATTACATCATTGGTAACTTCATAATTTACCAGGAACTCAAAGCGATTGTAAAGCAATTCAAAACATTTACATGCTGAGCAGTGATCATTTACAATACGCTTGATGCCCCTATGTAGTATTACTTTTCATCCAAATGTACATGATGACGGTTACATTTATATTGAATGGTCAAGATCACCATCAGACACACGACACCCAGGAAAATGCTCAAATTTTCTAAAACAATTTCGAAACAATTAAATGCTCATATTTGACATGTTATTGAGTTGTAAAACCTTATTACTATGAAGTCCTGTTCTACACAGAAAGTGTCTTCTCTTCAAATAGCGAGAACATTGAGCAGATTTTGGTTAGGGAGTTAACTAACAATTGTAAAATGGCACATCACTAAATAGACCAATCAGATCTTCTGTAGCCTCAACTCTATCTCCAATTTATAACAACAGGGTAGGTCAGGCTTTCTGTGTGATAAACATACTGCATACAACTACCAGCTTAAGTCAGAAGTAGGTACACATTGTTTCAAAACAGTCTTAAGTACTATTGAAACCTTATTGGTACTCATGCTGCGTAACACTGGTCTAAATTCTGATCTTATACCAAGTACAGGTATTATATGCCTTATTTTATTTTTACATTTACATTTTTCTAATGACAAGTTATAATTCACTTGAAAAAGGCCAGATATGGTAAAGATAAGTTACCATATGTGATGTGTCACCTAGGTGACGTAGAATAAATCAACAGAAAAACAATGATATCAATACAAGGGAGGTAAGTATAATGGTCAGTTTTTAAAATCAGTGCATTGTTTACTTCATTTAGCTGCCGAAGTTTGTATTAAGTAGTTTTTCGGTTGATTTCCTGGCACAACCCCCCATTATATTTCTACACAGACATATAGGTGTGTGTTAGTGTTCAGCAGTGACTAGTGTTAATGCACACACAGTGCTTAACTCAAAATAGGTACTCGACTCAAAAAGTGTCCTTTTATGTCCAACTGAAGGAGATAGACCCATGTGGAATGAAACTGTATTTGTGTTATCATCATTTCTGAATTTAATGTTAACCAAACTGTGTTGTATTGTATCTGATATGTGACCACTTTTTTACTACGGTAATACTTTGTCCAAAACATTTAATTAGTGAGTTGTAACTGATAAAATCAACTGTGAAACAGGGTTTTATCGTCACTGATACCAGCGTCAATATCTGTCACAGAACGTTTTAAAATCCTTCATCCAAGCCTAATGTTACTCTAGTTTTTGTTTGTTAATTTTGTTCCCCAAAATTTCCCCTCCAAATCATGTTTTTTCCCTATTACAACGCTTTCTCCAGATGTATCTAATTTTGCTTTATTACACCTTTTATATTGCTTCACTCATTTAGTCAATATGATGTATTTATCTATTGTTTAGTTGTTTAGCTATTGTTTTAGCTGTTTATCTATTGTTTAGCTGTTTATCTATTGTTAGCTGTTTATCTATTGTTTAGTTGTTTATCTATTGTTTAGCTGTTTATCTATTGTTTAGCTGTTTATTTATTGTTAGCTGTTTATCTATTGTTTAGCTGTTTATCTATTGTTTAGCTGTTTATTTATTGTTAGCTGTTTATCTATTGTTTAGCTGTTTATCTATTGTTTAGCTGTTTATTTATTGTTAGCTGTTTATCTATTGTTTAGCTGTTTATCTATTGTTTAGCTGTTTATTTATTGTTAGCTGTTTATCTATTGTTTAGCTGTTTATCTATTGTGCTAATTAGTCATTTAGATCATTACCACATTGCTATCAGAACAAATGGCAAAAATGATGGGAAACAAATCTTGATATTCATCTATTTCGTATAAACATTTTCAAAGTACACATTCCTAACCAAATAACTGTAGAATCCTGTAAAGACGTAAAGAAATAGAAATGTTCAAATTATAATTATACCCTCATGTATGTATAAACTTAAACTATTTCATCAAGTGTCAGAATGGATATTACAATTTTTTATAACAACACAGTTACATTAAATTTTGAGAAATTCACAAAATACTTAAATGTAATACAATGTAAAAATAATTGTTTTCTTAACATAATGCAACCCAAAAATTTGAAAATCACACACATTTTAACATTAAAACAAAGATAAAGAAGAAAACTTATAGAACAATAAGCTAACATGCTATCACAATGCTTTTGTGTACAGAACTAAACCCAAGTCGTGTATTAGTACCAAGGATAAAATGATCAAAATCGTAGCACTGAAGGGGATACTTTGGATACCGTACCCCGTTATTTAGAGGAATACCAGGTGGTGATGAAGAACCCATATTTTTCATTAATGTGAATTCTGATATTCCTAGCACTTACAACTACTTATTCTTGATATTTTCCTGAAATACAAGGACAAAAAAGTAGCATATATATTCATTACAATGTCTTTTTTAGTGGACTAAGGACCCAAGTACAACATTAAAGTAAAACTTTACACATATCACGTACATGATACCCTCTTCAACTTGGAACAAAAGACAACTCAATCAAAAATAGAGGAAACACATGAAAGGACAGCAGCTACTAATTCAGATTAACCTTTGATATAGACTATCTATAAAAGTCAAGTAACTATTTGTAATCAGAGAAATAAAAAAAAAATATCCTCATGACAGCTAACTTGTCAAGATAATCACATGCATAACACTTCATCCATGCTGGAAAATAAATTATTTGCTTTCCACATGTTGAAGTCCTTCAACAATACTCACTTTATAGCTACTTATATATACAAGAACATATCATAAACGGACATCGATCGTAAAAAAACTGAAAATAAATATATTACACGTCTCTTGTTTTTTCTGTTTTCGTGTGAACGTCTGTCACTTGTACAAAATATAACTATCTGATTTCATGGATTAAATAATAATGATCTCCAATCACTTCTGGAGATTGGAAAGTGACAGGAGAGTGAAATGTTTATGTCAACATTATTATGATGGTGACAGCGATGAGACAATGATATGATGGTGACAGCGATGAGACAATGATATGATGTCAACAGCGATGAGACAATGAGATGGCCAAGACAAGGAAAAAAGGACAGATGACAATTTTTATGGACATAACATCGGACAATAACTTTCATGAACATGACAATGATTTTGACAACATAATCAGACGATGACTGACAGTTGATGTACAATGATGTATGGTAGCTAGAGACGATAACGACAAAACGAGCATTGATAAGTTAGATGAGATGAAAATAATTATGATTTTGATGTGTGATGATAATGGAGATGAAAGTATATATGATTTAGATGAAGGGAGGATTGGTTATGATGATGATTTAGATGAAGGGAGGATTGGTGATGATGACTTAGATGACAATTATGATGTAAATGGCTGAGTGATGGCTTGAGATCAACAATAAAGCCTATAAACGTCTAGGTAAAAATTGGCACAAGACGGTTCCCTGCACTGTTATGGTTTGATTGGCTGATGATAACTGATGTCAATTCTCTCCTGGTTGGAACGAAAGGCAACCTTGTCCAGAGTGATACCCTTAGGTTACACTGACCAGTGTTCTGAGTAGCATCCCAAGGTCACATTGACCAGTGTCCTGAGTAACATACCAAGGTCCCAACGACCAGCAGGCAGCAACTGTTCCTTTCTCAAACAATTTTAACAACAGATTTAACATATCATTTTATTAAAATCCTTTTGGTATGAAGGAAACTTGCAACAGTTCCTAATCAGGAATGAGTTATATTTCCTTGTTTTTCAAACAATTTATCATCTAAGTGAGATATGTTGATGTCTTATAGTTCATAAGCTTTGTGACAAACTAATTTGTCTTGACACTACGAAAGATATATTCTTCAGACCAAAATGATTGGATTTTAACACATTTTCATGCCTTTAGAAAATGCCAAAGCTAGACTTAAATTCAACAAAGTGTGTTTAATCTTCTTTTCGTTCATAAATAGTAATTTCAATTATTTTTCTAATTAATAAATATTACTAAAGTTAAATTATAACTACAGATTGGACGGAAATCTGTTAAAATTGATTGAGGAAGAGCATTTGCTGTAGGGTATCACAATGGATAGGGCTGTTGTGATATGATCGGACAATCCCAACATTTTATGTAAATTGTGGTTTATTCTGATTTGCATAGCTTTGGTAGCCATTTTTCTAGGTCTCCTGCTTGTATTACGGGGTATGTTGAACAAAGTTTTCCTTAAAATGTATTCCTGGGTTTCACATATATCTATATAATATATTCCTGGGTTTCACATATATCTATATAATATATTCCTGGGTTTCACAAATATATATATAATATATTGGTGGAGGTTCCCTGATTTTCATCAATCGTTGCTGCAGTTTGATTTTTATATATACAAAGTTTAAGGAAAAGTTTGTTGAACATGTTTTCTACAAATCTATCCTACATGAAATTTTGTTGAATTAGCTTTTTTTAATAACAATATTCACAATTCTACAAACTTAACATATTACTAGGTAAGGAAAAATAAAAATCTCCAGACATTATTTGGTTAGATTTTAGTTTTGGAACAATTTCACTAAATCCTGTTCTAATTATTTCATGTAGGACAGAGGTTTGTCAGTCATATAAGCACATGTAGGACAGAGGTTTGTCAGTCCTATAAGCACATGTAGGACAGAGGTTTGTCAGTCCTATAAGCACATGTAGGACAGAGGTTTATCAGTCCTATAAGCAAATGAAAGAAATTTCCATCACCTATATCATACAGTTAACCTTTGGAAAGGAAAGCATAAGATTTTCACTTCTTCCTTCAAGACAATATAAATGGACTTTTCTTCAAACACTTTGGACCTCTTCGTGTTGTATTTTTTATAAAACATATTTTGTTCATCTCGTCAATAAATATGTCAACCATTTATAACAGCTCGGACCCCTGTCTCAGTATTTACATCACAAACCCCAGATGTATTCATCCTAACCTCTACCAGTTCTTCTTATATTTTACCGCCATTTTCTACTTGTTCATCCTCAATCAATCTATAACTGCCACACATTCACTGGCTGTTGTCATTTCCTCCCCAGAAATATCAACTGGCTGTTGTCATTTCCTCCCAGGTATTAGTTACTAATTCCTACCACTTACTAGACCAATGGGTCTTACAAAACTGTTCCTTAACTATCAGCCGCAGTTCAGATAGGATTTTCATGGTTTGTTAATGATAAAAGTGAATTAACAAAGAAATATTGAGCAATTTGATACAATAAATATCAATGGATGGAATTTTTGTGGTAGAACACATCGTTGTTGCCATGAATACAAAAGGGGTTTGTGATGAAGCTTTTGTTATATCAATATATTTTCAGTCACACATCAGTTACTTTATACATTTACTACAGTCATCCATATTCTCCTCTTTTTCTCATCAGAACATACATGTAAGCAATATCCCTCTCATTTTATCATCAGAACATCCATCTAAGCAATACCCCTCTCATTTTATCATCAGAACATCCATCTAAGCAATACCCCTCTCGTTTTATCATCAGAACATCATAAAAGATTTTCACCGTTTCTAACATTACCTTTTCATTTTACAGTACTGGTGGTCAGTATAATTATCCCTAAGGCAGTAACTGTATCTTCATTTGTTGAAAAGGTCTTAAACATGTATTGAAGGTCGTACATTTTAAATAAATTTTGTTTCAGATTCAACTTCTCCTAAAAAAAAATTAAGCAGAAAGATTTTTTCAACTAAAATAATACGTTTACAAAAGTTTATCCTGAGAAAACAGGCTGTGTTGTCTGTAACTTTGCTGATGTCTTTCTTTTTGTCTTTCCTTTTGTTTGATCTTCCTGTCTCGCTGTTTGCTCTAAAAGGTAAAATCTTTTTGTCTTTCACATTGTCTTTCTTTCTTCAAGTCAGGGCCTCCTGTTCTTCGTGTCCTTTTGATTGCTTGTAAAGGTCACACATGTTCTCTTCCCTCCTTCTTTCTGTCTTTGGTATTTCTTCTCCCTTCCTCCTCTCTGTCTTTGGGCTTCACTTACCAGGACACCTACAGCTACACACATTCACATCAAGTCTCACTTTCAACTTGACAGTGCTGCAACCTACAACCGACAGTAAACAAATACAAATATAACAAATAGGCCAATCTCTGTTTCTGTTTAATTCACCTACTTGGACTTAACATCAAAATTGAAGATCATCATTTAAACATGCATTTATGGAAATTCAACTTAAAGACAAAACAGAAACATAAAATCTACATCAATCACCACATTTTAGTTTCATTTACCTCAGTGTGTAGCTTTGATGAACATGTTAACCCTTAATACTTGCTTAAACTAAGGGTTTTCACTGACAAAACTAAGGGTTTCTCAGTGGCAAAGAGTTTCAACTTAACAATCTCTAGAGTTGTACACAAAGGGTTCTTCTTACAAAACTGTAAGACCAACTTACGCTGGCCTATTGTAGAACGAAAAAGCAGATTGGGATTGTATATAATATTAATTTCATTTGTTAGTTATAGCAGAGTTGACTTACATTTGTATGATGCTGAAACTTATCGTAGACATCACACAGTTCATCAAGTTTGTACTGATTTAAAACGACAAATCCGTCCAGCACGGGGCTGATCCTCCGTGCACAATCCTGACAGTGGACCACAAACTTCTTATCTTGTTCAGTCACAAACAGGATATTAAACACTTCCACCTGGAAACACAAACAGCTGTTTTATTTTTGCCCTATGAACTCTTGATCAAATAAAAGATATAATGCAAGATAATTTAAGTAGGGAAGCTGTGTTTTGTGTATGAACATACACTCAAATGATTCAAAACAGAATGAAATCTTCCTACAATATTGTATATCGAGAAATTTTGGCCACGGATGAACTTTCGCCTTTCTGCCCTCCGCAAAGAGGACGAATTTGATCATGACAGCAAATATTAGTACGTAACATACAATATATAGTAATTTGATGTGAAGCGTGAAATTGAATCTAGGGGAACTTGGATTTGGTAGCAAAGGGTGAATATTTGACAATGCAAATGTTTCCTTGTATACAGTACTATTTCATTGAATTATGTCCAACAATTAGAAATTCCACATACTACAGTATCGTACCTCGCATTCATTACAGTAGTGAGCTGCCTCGGTCTCGGAGCGGCCGTGCCACTTCACCTCAACACCAAGGTTTTCTACAAAGTCCAGGGTGAAGCGGATCTGTTGTAACGACCTCAGTAAACACGACCTAAAAATTACCACAACATACTAAAGGCAATCGTCAACTGGAATAAACTGTAAAAGTGGCTATGATTTAGTCCTATCTTTTAGAGTAGACAGCATGCCAAATGGTCCTGTTCAATTTGTTTATCTTTACCACTTATCATGCCTTATTAATATTTGGTGATAGCTGGACAAAGGGAAAGATAATTTGGTGTTGGTTAGATAAACAAGATCTGACTCTTTCTATATATATCAACATAGAAAAGTTCTATTGGTCTAGATATGGATCAACATAAGCAGTGCACAGTGACAATATTCTCCTGCAATCACACCAGGTTTCCTCCCCCACTGCTAGTTGTATAAACGTTCTAGTAGTTGATCAACATGTTTGTCTACCAACTATGGAGTACATAACACCCTGGAGGTGATTTACTGGTCAATCATTTAATTATGATGTCATGTAACAACACTTTTTAACGTCAACTTCCATTGTGACGTCATGATCCACGCCAATCATTTTCCCATCAGAAATAGACATGATGTATCTTCAAAGGGAAATGTGTGGTTTTCTCTATAAGATATGACTGTTACAGGAGAAAAACTTCCCCAAACTCTTGAGGGCTGTTGTCATATTTAGTTAACTCTCACTAGTTTATTTTCAAATAAACATGTAGTAAAATACATTCGGTAAACCTTGTGTCTTTCTAAAAGTTGAAAATTAACTAACTTGAGTTGGATAAACATGATAATCAACCATCGCTAATTGGAAAATCTCTACGTAACCACTTGATAACTGCCAAACTTTATTTGTACATTACTTACTTGACAAGCTCAAAAAACTTTGGTTCGGAGATGTGGAGGTTGCGTGCGATGTTCCAGGTGAGGTGCACCATGGGTACAATGGATTTGTAGTTTTGGAGTTTGTTCCACTCGTACCTCTCCAAGGCGAGCTTGTATTGTCTAGCATTAACTGGACCCACATTCCATGCAATGTTGTTACACCAACCCTGTCAAAGGTCAATGATTAAAGATGATAATTAATGAGATAGATATCTATGAATGGGCTTATTGAGTGTAGCTTTCACAGGTTTATTTTCACTTGCTCTCTATAGATTCAACAATATACAAAAGGTACCCATAAGTTAAGTGTTAAAGCTGATATTGGGAAAAACCAGTGAATAGTTATATGACTATGAACTGACCACAGTCTGTACCTGATGGACATGTGACCCTTGTGAACTGACCACAGTCTGTACCTGATGGACATATGACCCTTGTGAACTGACCACAGCTTGTCTCTAGTGATTATATGACATTTGACCATGCCATAACGTCAACCCAGTGAATATGACCTCTGAACTTATGACAGCCTCTACCCAGTGAATATGCCCTCTGAACTTATGACAGCCTCTACCCAGTGAATATGACCTCTGAACTTACCACAGCTTGTACCCAGTGAAATATGACCTCTGAACTTACCACAGCTTGTACCCAGTGGACGGTGCCAGCACTGACCCAGACCAGGTCGCCAGGTTTCTGTATGAACCTATAGACAGGGATGTCCTCCTCATACAGATCCTCTAACATTGGCCACCAGGACCCTGTCAGGTAGTCCACGCTGTTCCTACAATACAGTACAGTCATAACATTTATAGAACAGAGTATGTCATGTAAATCTTATAACATATACCACCAGGATCCTGTCAGGTAGTCCACGCTGTTCCTACAATACAGTACAGTCATAACATTTATAGCACAGAACATGTCATGTAAATCTTATAACATATACCACCAGGACCTTGTCAGGTAGTCCATGCTGTTCCTACAATACAGTACAGTCATAACATTTATAGCACAGAACATGTTATGTAAATCTTATAACATATGCCACCAGGACCCTGTCAGGTAGTCCACACTGTTCCTACAATACAGTACAGTCATAACATTTATAGCACAGAACATGTCATGTAAATCTTATAACATATGCCACCAGGAACCTGTCAGGTAGTCTACGCTGTTCCTACAATACAGTACAGTCATAACATTTATAGCACAGAGCATGTCATGTAAATCTTATAACATATACCACCAGGACCCTGTCAGGTAGTCAACGCTGTTCCTACAATACGGTACAGTCATAACAATAATAGCAGTAGCACAGAGTATGTCATGTAAATCTTATAACATATACCACCAGGACCCTGTCAGGTAGTACATGATGTTCCTACAATACAATACGATACAGTCATAACAATAATAGCAGTAGCAGAGAGCATGTCATGTAAATCTTATAACATATACCACCAGGACCCTGTCAGGTAGTCCATGATGTTCCTACAATACAGTACAGTCAGTCATAACACTTCATAATGTGAGGAAAATCTCAGGAATGCAAACACTGAATATCAAACAGATTATATTTGTTTTATAGTCTTCATCATAAACATATAGATAACAGATCCCTTTTTAAGAAGCATTATCTGTGAGCTTACTTCTGACACATGTTGTGGATCATGCCCCAGTATGGCTCTGGTACCCCGAACCATTCACAGTCCCCAGGCCCGATGTTTACATTGATAGAACAGTAGTTATTGTTCTCTTGGTGGCCTGCAACAAACAAAAATCAATTAACAATTCTGGTATTAACGAGGTAAGTCATTAAATTCTTATTAACTCTTTCCGTACCGCAACTCCGGTCCGGATTCCGTACCGGATGTACTTATTAGCCTCGCCCCCGCGCATATAACAAAATGGCGGATTATAAAGGTACTTTTTAGACTAGGTGTAACTGCCGCAAGAATTAAACAGGTAACCGTGAACAAATATTGTTATTGTTTCATGTTCTGGTTCATAGACAAACACTTCTTCATTTTCGCTGCATAATAACTAACTGGCAGCTGATTATGACTGAGAAACAACATTTGTCTGGCAATAAACGAAACGATTCCTTGTATTTAACACAGCGTTGTAGTACAGGTTTCCAATAGGGATTGATTATGGTTACGAATGTGGAGTCGTTGATTTTTTTTCTAAATACAAGTAGATTTCATCAAGACTTATATTAGAATATTCGAATTTACTCAACAAATATCTGATGATGAATTTACGAGTGTTCGTATGGAATTAAGTTGCCGCCATCTTGTTTACTTTGAGGCACCAAACGCAAACATCTTGCGGCAAATGCGAGAACATTAAGTTAAATAATAAACAAGGTTACCGCGAGCGGTATATAATACGCCCGTCACACATTAAATGAGCAGTTGTTTGTATGATTGAAATATATGAAGTATTTGTGATATTAAAAGAGAAATCATTCAACATAACTGGTAGATCAATGAGTGCAATACAACATCATGGAACACATGCATCGCATTAATGAAACCAAGGGAAATAACTCCAATAATTATGGTCGGATAATGGCAGTTATCGAACTTGTCCGATGTTTTATGGTAATTAACCTTGTTGTAAAGTTTGATGTTAATCCGTTAATAATTACTCGAGATATCGAGCAGACACTGTTTCGGCAAGTCCATAAAGGGGCATAACTCCACAAATTATTGTCAGATAATGGCGGTTATCGAACTTGTCCGAGGTTTCATGGTTATTAACCTTGTTGTGAAGTTTGAAGTTAATTCGTTAATAATTACTCGAGATATCGAGCGGACACTGTTTCGGCAAGTCCATAAAGGGGCATAACTCCA